CTGTCTACCAGAAGCTGCTTCATTTTTTCAGAATAAAAAGGAACCTGGGCCTGGATTCTCACAAAAGAGGAAAGCCCCTACAGAAAAAAATAAAATCAAACGACCCAGAGTACAGTAATTATATTTACTCAGTTACCAAACATTAAAAGTTTTTTAAATTAAAAAAAAGAGAGAGAGAGAAAAGTCAGGAGACAATGGAGGGCTATTGAAGCAAGAAGATTATAAACAGTTGCTGAGGGTCCCAGGAATGCAACCTATCACAAGTAGGCTTGGCTCCATCCAATTAGATGGAAGCCAAAGGAAGAAGAAAACTACATGATATTGATGTCCTTGAGGGATCTTTAGTGAAGTTTCAGGCTAATTATAATGCAGAAAACCCTACAGAAATTGGGGGCCTATAAGAGAAAGATAACTTACCACCTAAGACTCATTTTAAAGATGAAAAAGTTTAAAATAACAGATTTGAAAATGAAATGAAGATTTAATTTTCAAGTCCACTTATTTTTAAATAGTGCTTGAAACACTGGAATTTTTATCTTCTTTAAATGGCTAATGATATTAATAACATCCTTGAAGTTGCTCAGGCCTACATTTCTACCGATAACAGTCCTAATAAGCGACCAAGCATTAAATTCCTAAATTGGCAAAGGAATCAAAAGAAGGATCTTGCTATAATCTAATACCTAAGTTTTAATTCCGTAAGAGAAAGAACACTCTCTTATAAGAATAGGAACTAGAGACATCATAATAATGGAGTAAGATTATCTATTAGGGACACAGAAAAAAATATAAAGGGAAAGATCACAATTGTTCCAGAATTTGGTGCCAAGGTTCACATATACTTCCTTTTGTAAAATGGTAACAGAGGCATTCCAGGGGATCAGGAAAGAGATATAATGATTGTTACCACCCATAGAATTTTCATGGTGCTCACATAACAAGAACTGAAATCTGCACACTATCATTTCAACTGTGAGAAAACAGGTGGAGAGACCTACTCAGCAGATTGAAAAACAGACCTCAGTCTGCTGCTTGTGGCATAGAGATATTATTCTAACGGTCTGTATCTGGAGCCCATTTTTCTTAAACCACTGGACTGCATAAATCTTAGTAACTCTGAAGACAAACTGTGCCCATGAAAATGGAGAAGAGCAGAAGAATTTGAAAGTTCACTTCCCAAGGCATTCAGCTAACAAGTTTGCTTTCTATTCAGACAACAGGATTACTGAGAAAGAGAGGAAGTGAATAAAGAAATAATTAGAATAGCTCATTCTCTTAAATAACAAAAACTAATTATGTTGTATTAAGAAAAATAGAATGTAGGGGTTTTTTTCCCCAACCGGGAAGAATGACAGATTAAAATCCTAAAGTCATGAGGAAAATTAACATTTCCTTCTGGAATACTAAACTTTTAGGTTCAGAAACTATATTACAACTGAAAAATCAAGCCTTCAGAAATCAGGAAATTCCAAAGTATGTCTACAGCAGTGCTTACTTGGACGCGTTACACATGGTACATATTTTACGGTCCATGTTTAACAAATAGCTGGGAGATGGAAAAAAAAAGTTCCATATATTCAACATGGCAGAATAAACTCTATAGCAGAAAGAAGAATTGAGATGTCCTGAACACTACTCTGTGACTTAATTTTCCGTTAATCTAATTTTAGCAATTTGTTTTCCTTTTTTTGGTAATTTTTAGAACAAAAAGTCATCCCAGTTGGAAAAAAAAAACTGCATGTGTAAAATACTCTGGACATCACCATCCTATAAATCTTGAGGGGTGTTCCTCCTCTTTTGGAAAATCTCTAAAAATCTCATGAAATTAATGTTTATTTTCCTCAACTCCAGACCTTAATTTTCTATCTTCAAAACTTAAAAATACTTACATAATTGTCTTCAAATATGGCTGGACTTTTCTTCCTTGATGGAAACAGCATTCCTGCCAACTTTAAAATTTATAGCTACAACCATATTTTTTTAATTTTTAAAAGCACACACACAAAAAATACCACAACCCCTCAAAGTGATTTTGAAATGAACATTTCTTCATCGTCATAATTATCCCATGTCACACTGAAATGTACTCCAACTTAGCATTCAAAAGGAAAGAACATTTACCTCTGAGTCCCAGTGCAAAATATTACATTTGGAGATAACATCAGCAACTAAAAAATCTTTTAGTGACAATCATAATCCAGTCATTAAAATGTCATAATGAAGTAAAATTGTGCATCTTGTAGAACAAAATTCCCCCGTGTGCATATATAAGTATATAAATGTGTATGTATAGCACTTTCCCAATTTTACAGACTATATCACAGTTTTCAAAAGTACTTTCGCATAATTTCTGACAATCCTGAAAGGTATATAACACAGGGATTTTTTTTACTATTATTCCATTTGATAGAGCAATAAACTGAGATACAGAGAGGCTAAGTGACTTGCCAAAACCCAAACCTCATCAGCGGCAAATCCTGGAAAAAGAATTCAGACCACTGACTCCCAGACCAGCCCTTCAAACAGAAGTTTAGGTGTTCAGTTTAAATTAGATGAGAAATGTGCAAAGTTCATGGGTTTCTAAAGAAGTTTGAACAATGCTTCGTTTTAGTCCACCAATATCATAGAAGTTAATAATCTATCTCATTGCTGGAAAAATGGGGCTGTTAACTGGATTAGAGAGAGACTGCACCAAAAGGCTGCGCTTGAAGTATTTTCAATTGCAAAATTACATACCTTTGAAAGCCTAACCAATATAATAATTTAGTTCAACTGCTTCTGAGGTAGAAAATATTAAAATTTACTGTAGAATATAAACTCTGAACATTTATCTTTAAAAATAAGTACTGGAAGGGAAAACATTTCAAGGAGAACATAGGGGTGAAATTTAAATTGTTGTGCTGGTTACAAAAATGTTTTCAAAATTTGAATCTTTCCAAACTGGTTATGATTTTTTTCTATCTTTCGTCCTTGAGTTGGGATAACCACAACAGAACAGCACTGCGATATCCTTTACACTTTTAAGTTATGGTGTCAAGTTTATATCTACATCTGCTACATTTTTATAAGAATCCAACAGGCATTTGTAACCAATAAAAATCAACATGAAAGGCAGCATTCCTGTTATTTCGAATGACTCAAGGATTTCTTTTTCTTTGAAATTCCTCAAAGAAGCAAGTGAGAATGTGTCAGTTTAAATTTTTACATGCATTTCTCTGTATTTTTCAATTATTAAGCAACCTCTAAAAGATAATTTTTTTTCTTTTGCTCTTATTCCCCACCACCACTGAAGCAATTAGAGTAGAGCCTGGGCACAGGTCACAGGGTATTCACTGACTATGCAGAAAATCATGTAGAAATTCTTGGGTCCCCTTTCCAGGCCTAGGGACAAGAAGGCACATCAGAGTCTAGGTTTCTTGCCACTGGTCATCTTGCAGAAGGAAATGGGCAATTCAGACGGTGAGAGCTAGGAGGGCTAGAAGACAGGGGAGCAGGTCTGTGTGATATGTCTGTAGAATAAATACCTATTTAGAAGCTGGAGTGGGCAGTGTGGCTAAAAAGACAGTTGTCCAAAGGAACACATTAATCACTGTGTTCTAACAACTTTACACTAAGTCACAGACAGAAAACAGTTTTAAAAAACTAATGTACCAAAAACAAAAATTAGTGTACCAGACACTAGTAATAACTGTACACTACTGGTTAGGCCAAGTCTAGAATGAGACAATTTTCTGTTGAATAACTGTGCCCTTCCTTTCCAAAACATGTCTATAAATTCCTTAGGCCACTGTTTAGTTTAGATCACATGACCTAAATATCTGTTTCCTCAAAATCAAAATGCAAAACTAGATCAGTCTAGCTTTACATTTTCTTGTGTTTTATTTTTTTCATTTGTCCCTGTTCTTGAATACACAGTACAAGTAACAGTATATAGGACTCTTTGTTTTTTACATAAATTATATTTTATATACTTAAAGTTGGAATCACTCACATGCCATTAGCATATTTTAGAGTTGGAATCAAAATTCTTTGAAAGCAATTAGAAAACTGATTCCACTGAAGTGCAGGAAAAAAAGGTAAATTTAGGGTCTTGAAAATGTCACACAATAAATAACCAACCTTGACTAATTAAGAAAAATATTTCCCTGACAATATCTGTGAATACAGCAATAGAATATTGGCGAATAATGGAGTATGTATATAATAGAATGGCAATAAATAGACAAGCTTATATAAAGTATATACACTTCATAGACAAGAGAACGTCCATCCAAAAATACTACATCTAAGTTCACAAAAGACAGTTTTAAAAATAAGCCTCTATATTCTGATTTGTGTGTGTGTGTGTGTGTGTGTGTGTGTGTGTGCGTGCGTGTGCACACGCGCCCTCTGTTGCTCAGTCATGTCCAACTCTTTGCGACCCCATGGACTGTAGCCTGCCAGGCTCCTCTGTCCACAGGATTTTCCTGGCAAGAATATTGGAGTAGATTGCCATTTCCTCCTCCAGGGGATCTTCCCAACCCAGGAATCAAACCTGCATCTCCTGAGTCTCCTGCTTGGCAGGCAGATTTTTTACCACTGAGCCACCTTGGAAGTCCCATATTCTGACTTAGGGATGTCCAAATAGTATGTATACTGTGAACCATGCTTGATATTTCAAATTTATGTGAGAAATTACTCCCAAACTGATTTTAAATGTGCATCTGTTACTGCTTATCTATGGGGGCTCAAGTACAAACTGCAGATCATCATCCAAAAACAAGGAGTATCTGAGCTACATATGATTTCACATGCTGCACAATAAGGAAGTTAGCTCCCTTAGCCAGAGAACATGACCCCAAGGCCTTGAGGCTCGGACCTCCTCAGTAGGTTGACTCAGAGTTAATCCTGACACAGAATGTACTCTCAAAAGATGATGAGGTTGTAGGAGAAATTCATAATGTATATTTGAGACAAACCAGCAGGAGAAACGCATAAGACAGTCAAGGATTTTCACGTACTTTGCAAAGCCAATGAAATCTTCATGGTTGGTGTTGATGTAGGAGACTTGGATGTCGATCAACAGCAGCACCTTTAAGTCAAAGAAAATCACTTCAGTAAAAACCCATCTTAAATATTCTCAAACACTAAATCCAGTAATTGTCTACAAATTATTTACCTTTATTCAATTTAAAAAGGATATTTCAGTTAGAATGAAAAGTTGCACTAATTTTTTTCCTTACACTCTTATAATTTTTACTCTAAATTCAAAAACAAAAAAATCTATGTGAAACATCTGAGTCACACTTGAAGACAACAGCATTATAGTTTACAAGCATGTACTCTTTGCCAGCTTAACACAGAACCTAGAATGTCTCTAAAATGTAGGTGTAACATTCAAAAGGACATGTGTATAAAAAGACACATGGCGAAAACGCCACAGGGAGCTGCTCAGAGCACTGTGTTCCTGCAGACACTATACATTAGCCACAAAATAGCAACATCATCTCTTGTTTCTCCTCTCCTCTCCTAACTCTTTAAGCTCCCTCTAGGCAAGATGGAGAAGTATCCCATCAACCAACTCAAAAAGGCAATATCCAAATAAATAGAAAGCCTCCTTAAGATCAATAGGCTTCACTGAAGGTGACTTCTGAGTGCATCAAAGCACCATGATAACAGTTCACTGGCAAAGTCTATGTAATGCTCCACAGTAGGTGCTTCATCAGGATAGCCTTCTCTGATCCTTTCCCAAGACCTGGTTGGATCATGCTATTTACTCTCATATAATCTATATATCATGGCTATATTTTTATTTATTAAACCCTGTACTTTTCTTTGAGGTGTTTACCACAAATGTGATTAATTATTTATACTATATTTTGTTTGATGTTTTGCATCCCTACAAGACAGTCAGCTCCATGGAGGCAGAGATTATACTTATCTTGTTCATCACTTTATTCACAGAATCTAGCATGATACACATAACACATGCCTGATAAATAGTTTTAGCTGTAAATTCCATAACTATCTACCAGCCTTGAAGAACAGTTTACTTTAAAGGGAGCAATTTATTCCCTTATAGTTAATACATGGCCAAGTATTTTTGTTTCTCACTCATTACCCAATGCTCTGGTCTCTGCTTTTATGGCTAATCTCAGTTGGTCATCTGACCAAATATTATGGTGAACCCCAAGGGGCCTACCAAAAAAGAGTAAATGAATCACCCCAAACCATCCCCACTACCAACATAAAGTTAATACCCAGGCACTATTGGGTCAATGATATCATAATTGTATGAAAATTTTCATAGCATCATATAGTTTTGTTTCTTCACTTAATGAAGAAAACTAAAGAGTTAGGAGGAGTGATAGTTATGAGATTATCTGTGATACTGCCACTATTCTCCCTACAATAAGGCCAGATTCTATTAAATTTTATACCCCCAAATCCATTTGGCCAGGAGTCTGGATCAATAAACCATAATGTTTAAGCACAAACAAATAGCTGTCACCATAAAGAGAAAAATATCTACATAATTCTCAGCATCGCCAAAGGCTGTCATGAGTATCTTGGCCGTTCACGCACATTCACTTGGATTGCAGCACAGGGGAAAGTGGAAGAAAAATTGCAACTATGGCTGTTCTCATTCATATTCCTGGAAACTGGGAGTCTGTGTTCATCCGAGGAAAAGAGCCAGGTCGCATGTGGGGGATGGAAAGGAAAATAGGACATTTTTTTCTTCTTCTTTTCACTCTCTGAGTTTCTCACTGCCTTTCTCACCCAGAGCTATTGAATATTTAGTTGAAGAAAAGTAAAGCTACTCCTGGTAGCAGTAATCACCCACAAAGTCAATCATTTCAACATGCATTTAGATGTATGGGAGCACCTGGAATAACAGCAGGCACACATCGAAGTTCCAAAAAACCCTCTGTTTCAGAAAAAAGTTCACAGATAGATTTATGGTTTTTCATAATTTTAATTTTCAAGAATTTTCCCCCCAAGAAGTTTCCAGAGCAGAAGCTGGTAATAATTCCATTTTTTGAGAAAACTGCAAGAAGAATACCTCAGAGCAGTTCTCGTACAGAGGCCTCAGGAAACAGATCACTCTGACCAGTTACTTCAGAAGCAACATACGGCCTCAAGCAGCATAAAGTCCAGAACTCACATGTGAGATCTATGCAAACTGACATGCTCACATTACCAAAAACATGCACGCTTTTTCTGCACCACAGATGTCTGTATTACTGGTAGCAAACACCAGTTTCTTCAGGTGGTTAACTGTCAGACCAGGCCACCCGAGACAGTCACTTAGAAGGGAGATGCTCACTCCCTCCCTTAACTCCATTTGGGGAATGAATTAATCACTCCGTCAGAGGTAGATGGGAGAAAGTCTCTCAAAATTAGAAGGAGAAAAAGAGTTCTCATGTCCACTGTGTGTCATAGACCTTTAGGAATAACAGCAAGGACAACTTCATGAAGAATTAAGAACCTTATTTGGATTACTTTATTTCATGTTCACAAAAGGCCTATGAGTTAACTACCATTATTATTCACTTCCAGATGAGGAGACTCAAGTGTAAATAACTTGTTCATTTACACAGAAAGTAAAATGATAGAGCCTGGATTTGAACTCAGGCAGTCTGAACCCAGAGCCCACAGTCTTCATGACAATAAGTTTGTCATTTAAGTAAAACAAATCTCTGAAACATGAAACATCAAGAAGTTAACAACTGATTTAGATATAAACACAAAAGATAATTAAGGTAATAATTGTACTACTTTTTCCTTGGTTTTTTTTTTACATAGGATCCCTAAGAGTTAAGTAGAATGTATTATCATTTGAATTGCATTGAATAAATACAAATTAAAATTTTATCTTATTTACTTAAGGTCAGGAGTACAGCTGATACCAGAATTTGTTTCTTGGTCCAGCAGCAGGCATGACATCAGGTATGCAGGGAAATTCCTGGTCTCAGGTCGTATATCCTGAGGACCCAGGCTAGTTTTTACTGACTCATGAGTTAATATTGATTTGTTTATCTCCACTAAGTCACAAAGCCTATTTTCTTCCACTTTTGATCTACGCATGTTGCATATGTCTCTCTCCCCATGGTTTGTGTCTACCTCTCTCTTCTATTCTGCCTTCCTCCTTTTACCCAGTTCTTTCTCTCCTGCTTTCCAACTCACTCAAGAACCACAAAATCCCAGAATTCTAACTTACAGAGGACTTCAGAGATCATATAGACCAACATTTCAACACTGTACATGAGAAAACAACAGTCCTGAGAAGTGATTTGCTCAAGAACACGTTATTCTCTGATGAACATGTGGCTGGAGGCCAGTGTCCTCTCCACACGGTCACACTTGCAGCTGCGTCCTGGAATTGAAGAGCATCTGAAAACCTTTTTGCTTCCCTTTATAAAATGTTATAAGTAACTAAGAAAACATCTACCTAAATTTAAGAAGCTTCTATTATTTTCATGTAGTCCTTTTTTAATGAATTATCCTCACCTGAAAATAATCTTTCAATCGTAGAGCTAGCCAAGATTCAAAGACAATTTCAAGGTCACTCTTTACCAACCATATATATAAATAGTTACAAAATAGAAATGCTTAAAACATTATATCCTTAATGTTTTAAATTATTTAAATATTTAAATAATTGTTTTAAATTTTTATATATAATTTAAATATCCTTAAACATTTTTATCTTTTTAGTCATAGGTTCCATGGATAAGTTGATGAATAGCTTTATCCAGTCTCTTCAAGAAACAAAATAAAATAAAATAAAAGCACTAAACATTCTGCAAAACATTTTAGGAATTTATGAATATTTTGGTGCCCATCTGTGCCCATTAAAAGTTAAGACATCCTATCTCAAAGAAAAAATGTGGTATGTTTCTGGATTAGTGGTTTTCAAAGTGGAGTGTGTATTAATACATGCCCAGGGTATACATCATAATGATTCATAGAGCATTGAGGAAAAAATAGTGGAAGTCCTATTACTGTCTTTTAAATGTTATCTTTCTAAAGTCTTTATATATGTTTATATTTTCAACATACATAAGATGTTAGTATAGCAAAACATGTATAATATTCATAAATAAATAAAAATAAACATATGTGGTAGTGTTCTCAGTTCTTTTTTTTTTCCATTCAGGGATACTCCAACTCTTGGAGACCACCAAACAACCTTGGAGAGAACTTCCACTTCCCACAGGGACCCTGCCCACCAGGGAAGGTCTCTCCTCACCTGGTCCTTTGTCTTCCCTTCTCGCTCACGAATATGGTTAGCAACAATCCTTTCCGTTTCCTCACAGAGTCTGGGGAAGTTTGCCAGCTATCAAGAGAAACAGATCTCAGTGTTAATACTCAAATATTTATACTGCCAAAAAAGAAAGAGATAAGTTATGTTATATTCCAGAAGACATGCATTACCGTTCTGTAAGCATAAGTGAAACATCCTAAAGAAGAATGACAGAGTGACAGAAGAGATTTCACAAACTACAAACAGAAGTAACTATATTATCTGAGATAAAACACTTCAAAACCAGCAGAGCAATTCCCTACAAAGAAAACAGAAACCCGGATACCATCCAGCACTCTGCTGTACAGAGCTAGCACTTAATAAAGTTCAAAGACGAAGAAGACAGAAATGAGGATGAAAAGGACGATAATGACGAACATTTATAGAGCGCTTACCATGTTCCAGCACTGCATGAATTACCTCATTCAAAAATGTACAATAGTCATAAAAGATAGATCTGATTGTTAACCTCATTTTATAGAGGAGGAAAGCAAAGCCCAGAGAGGTTAAATAACTTGCCCAAGACTATACAGTTCAAAATCAGAGGGTCCTGAATTCCAGCCCAAGGACTTTAGAGTTCATGGTCATGCCTATAACTCTTGAGGATGATTCATTCCATGAACCACAGAGATCATTTTTTAAAAATTCTCCCCTAACATTTGGGCTTTTATGTACATATTTTTGGCAAAACTGTAGGAATAATACATGTCAACCACTTATCCCATATAAATTATTCAGGTAATTGTCCAAAATTTAGTTTGCAAAAGTGAATGAATGAATTATAGTTGTTCTCAGTGTAAAGAGGAAGAAGAAAAGGATAATACAAGGATGTTCAAGGAAGCCTAATCTAAAAAGAGGATGTAGTCAGGTAAAGTTGTGTGGGGATGGCTGTGGGAAGAATGGAGCTTGCCAAGCACAGGAACATGTATGAAGGTGCTGAAAAACAGGGACAATAACTGGTCAAAGAAGTAAAGGAAATTCAGTGCAGAGAGCAAGCAAGAGTGTGGTCTTCAGGCAAAGCTAGAAAGGTAAACGGGGGCCAGATCAGGCAGATCCTTGCAGATCTGTTAGGAATTTTGGTTTCAGGTGGGAAATCATGGAACTTGGACCAGGACAGCAACTATAGAAATGGAGAAAAGTGGGCAAATTCATGGCTTATGACAAGCAAACTTTAATTCCATTTATATTAAAAAGCACTTGCAAATTAGTAAGATAACACTAATATGTTACATAAAAACAGGCCCAAAAAATGACTTAATTTAAAAAGAAATTTAATGGTCAATAAGCAGGGAGAAATATCACACTGTACAAAGAGAGTAATGCAAAGAAAGATAATAACCATTATGTTGTCAAATTGCTATTAATTTTTTTATAAGACAATGCATGTGAAGGTATATTAAAACTAGCACAGTTTAAACTTACTGAAGGGATATCAATGAGAATAATATTTATGTTAAGCAATTTGGCAATATGTATCAACACTCTTAAAGACACATACAGGCATCAGCCTAATTATTTCATGGGATTCTAAAATAATAAGGAAATTCATCATAGCATTACTTGGAACAGCAACAATAAGACAAATAAACGTAATTTTATAAACCACCTAGGTATCCAGTGATGTTAAATAAATTAAGGTCTACTAATGGGACATAATAAGCCATTCCAAACAATACCTAATATTTGATTTTTAATACTAATTTATAATATTTAATAACATGATAAAGTGTCTAAAATAGGTACTGGGTGAAGAAAAAAATCAGGCTACTAAATACATAATCTGATTACACACAAGTATACACACACCCACATACACAAACACACAGTCAAAGACCATCATATATCCTTCAAGGATATAGCCCAAGACCTTAAAAATTCCTAAATTCTTGGGTAATACTATAGCACATAATATTTCCCCTAACTTGTAAGCTAGGTCTCCCTGAAATGTGATTGCTCCATGGTTACTGGTGTCACTGAACACATGGATTTTTCAGCATGCATGATGTACACCAGTGCCTTGGCAAGATAGCAAACTGCACTACTTCATGGAACCATTGTAATCACTAATCACATATAAATGGTAAATCATCTTACCCTGTAAGTCTGTGCACAGAAAAGAATCTACACAAATATCAATATCACAAAATGTTAATAGGAACAACCTCTTTGAATGATGGGCTTAGGCATAATTTTAATTTTTTCAACATACATCTCTGCATTTTCCAATTTCTTCTACAATAACAAAAGGTACTTTTATAAAAACATCATTAGAGCATAGAAACCTGGCTGCCTGTTCAACTGAAAATTCACAGCCCAGTGTCTTTTTATGAGATCACCAGAAACCACTACCCCTTACTGAGACTCCTAGCTGAATCCTGAGATATGTGCTCATTTAAGGGCTTATTTCATGCATAACTTCAAGACACAAATGCAGCTTCCATTCTGAGTTCTGGAAACATTCTTTGAGGAAAGTTCTATGATCTCATAGCATCATCCTTTATACTATGAGAACATTGGAAGTTATTTTTTATGTGACCTATAAAAAGTTTCTAAGTATGGAAGAGATAGCTGATGAATGTTTGTCCTTTTCCTTGACTAATGAGAACCTAGGTGGTACATGCAGCACTAACCACTAGCCTGCACTAGACCATCAGAGCAATTGCTCCTCCTCTTCACTCAAACATCTTCCCAAGCTATCAGTGCACACTTGCTTTTGATGATAGCCACACTAACAGAGAACCACACTCCTGCAGATAAGTGACTGCAAAAGCAATAGTGGCCTGCTGAATAGGGCTGGAATGCCTATAACAACATTTAGAAAAATGGATTACAGCAGACTATTTCTAAAACACTAAAGAGTGGCAATATAAATATTTATTCAGAAACTAAATACTTGATAGACGAAGGACCCCAGGCTCATATGCAGACATCAATATGTCAAGGAAAGGCCAAAATGACAAGAGTATCTCATGAAGTAGAAACAACTAAGAATCCTCCAACCTACTGCCCTTGGCAGGGGGCTGATTTTTTTGTGTGTCTCCTGATCTTTCCGAGCTCAATTTCACCAAGAAAGGAATCCGCCAGAGCCACATTTTTATATCTATAATTGAGATGTGTTTTGTGTGTTAGTTGCTCAGTTGTGTCCGACTCTTTGTGACCCCATGGACTGTAGCCCACCAGGCTTCTCTGTCCATGGAATTCTCCAGGCAAGAATACTGGAGTGAATTGCTATTCCCTTCGCCAGAGGAACTTCCCAACTCAGGGATCTAACTCTGGTCTCCTGCATTGCATGCAGAATCTTTACCATTTGAGCTACAGGGAAGTCTAAATTGAGTAATTGAGATAACTGAAAGTAAATGGGCCTAAATTCTACGTGGAACAAAAAGGAAAGAGAACACAGTACAAGAACTGCCCTCGTTGGAGGCAAAGGAGGAGAAATATTGAGGGAGACAGTAATCAGTGAAAGATCTAGGCATTACTGAAAGGCAGTAATGAAGTTAGTATGGTTTCTCACTGCTTGATCTTAAAAGGTTTGTAGGAGTGTAAAAAGGTTGTGGGAGCACAAAAATCAAAATGATGATTTTAATTCCTGGCCCTCAAATGTAATAGTCCAGTTCCGAATCTTCATGATACATACAGAAAGAAGGCCAAAAATAAACGTCCTGCTGACCTTCGAAATGACTTCTGAGTGGGCTTTCTGCAACCCATTTCATTAGCTCATTTAACAGGGTCCCTTTCACTGCTCAGTCTGCCTGACTCTCTACCTAGCTTCAACAGATACTCAACTGATCACTCACTTCAATCCCTCACTGCTCTTCAATATCTCTTTCTGAAGATGCAATCAGTTTTCTCAAATGTTTGTCATTATCATTTTCAATCTCTTTTGCTCTGGATGTTGAATTAAAAGCTTACCACTGTAAGAACACATTTTTTTTGTCAGTCATCAAAATTTTAATCTCATATGCCAAAATAATATTAACCTAGAAATCACCATCATTAGATTTTTATTCTTGTATTAATTACTTAAATATTCTGCAAATTGAGTTATACAGGATCAAGGAATTAAGGCTTTGCTATTGGATATAGTGATTTTATATCCTTAAATTTATTTCACAATAATTCACTTAAACATTCACTGGGCACATGCAAAAGGCAGCTTTATGTCAAAGCACCTGATCCTAAAAACCACACAGTTTTGAGTGGCAGATTGATTATACAGATAATTGTGATACAAAAGAAAGATCTCACAAAAAGCAAGGAGAAACACAAAGTAGTAAGTTGTTAAATCTGCTCTGAGAAGGCCTCAGAAGACTTGATGCTTAAACAATGATAATAAAGCTTCCAGACAAAGCTGAACAACTGTTAAGTGATAAATTACTTCTAAATATCTTATGTTGAAATTATGTTGCATATTCTTAAATAATGAAGATTTAATGGAGCAATAATACAACATATATGTATTTGGGAATCAAAAATTTAAATATATAATTCAAAGAGAAAATTTTAATTCTGTTTTCATTTTAATTTTAATCATGTGCAGAATTGCACATGTTCTGAGACAAAGTATTATAGTACCATCATTTTTTATATATAAAAATGTATTTTAATAAAATCCAATGTTTTAAGTATTATTTAGGATAGTGTTTAATTATTTTGATGACACATCAATATAAAAATTTAATTTTAAGCATGGACCACATTTTTCCCTAGAAGAAAAAAAATCACTTGAAAGACATTTCTATACAATAAAAATAAATCATAAGCTTATAAAGTGTATTAACCATTGATTAATCAGATCATGAGAGCCATGCTATTAGGTTTCTCTTGGAACAGATGCAAGGTCAGGCAAGATTTCTATACCTTCAAGAGGAACTAGTTCAGTGCCTTAAGCAAAGACTCAGGTTATTAGGTAACCATGTGTTCACAGTTGCATACCAAACATAAATGAGAAAATAAACTAAAAATAGAATAAAATTTCTTTTATGTGCATGACCTGAGTTGATTGATTTGGCTGACCTAAAGTTATGGGCTCT